TGACGCAGACACCTGACCGACAGCAGCTACCTGGGGAGACGCAGTGGTCAGTGTGTAGAGACTCGACCCCGGCCGACGGGTGAACGTAGCCAGGTGACGGCCGGTCCTGGAGCACGTGCAGATCGCCACACGCTGTCCGCCAGGGGTAAAGGTGTCAACCCACTGATCCTGGAGGACAGCGTTGCTCACCAGGTTCGTCGAGAACGAGGGGAGGTGGAAACCCGACAACGAGCCAGACGGAACCGCCGGACAAGGGAGGACAGTGGTGGACTGGGCAAGGACTGGGCCCCCAGAGGGGTCAGCCAAGGAGACTGGGACCGGTGCAGGAAGCGGTGTGAGCTCAGTACTGTCACGGAAGAAGCAACGGGAAGCACCTGAGTCAAGGGTGAAGGTGTGACAGGCCTCAGCCGGTGCGGTACCTGAGAGAGGAGTCTCTGTGGGTGCTGTACCTGAGAGAGCAGACTCGAAACCAGCCGGGACAGCACTGGGGGGAGCAAGTACAGGGGGCACCATACCAGAGAGAGCAGACTCACTAGTACCCAGGGCAGCGGGCTCTATACCTGGGTCAGGCGGCACACACAAGTAACAGTCTCCCTCGGCACTAACAGTCAATGCATACATGGCAGCAATAATAGCATCATAGTCAAGAGCAAAGACATCAACACCAGCCCTCATGAGCTCAGCCCAGCGGGGGCGCTCAACATCCGCACCCATCTCCTCACGCCAAGCGTCGTCAAGGCGGGAGAAGCAGCGGTACGGGGTGTGGAACCTCCCACACGTCTGTCCCTTGCGGTCACCTGTGCGAATGACATAAGAACAGCGGGCACTGGCCCCCGACGTCCCACGCTGAGCAAGCCACTCACGAAGCTGCTGGGTCGTCTGGGGACGCTGCTGCTGCTGGGAGCTCTGGCCCGAGCCAGTGCCTCCACTCCGACCTCCGCCGCCACCACTACCACCGCTCCGACCGCCACCGCCACCACCGCCACCACCGCCACCGCCGCCACCGCCGCCGCCGCCACTACTGCCACTGCTTCCTCCGCCGCCCCCGCCTCCACCACCGACCCCACTCCCACCAGCGCTCCCGCCACCGCTCCCTCCAGCACCGCCTCCCCCCCCACCTCCCCCACCTCCTCCCCCCCCAGCGCCACCACCACCACTTTTGCCCCCCTTGCCCTTGCCGGTGCGGCGCCTCCCACCAGGAGTAGAAGCAGCGCCAACAGACTCAGCACCAAGGAAGTCAACAGCAGCAGCAGCAGCGTAGGAGGGAGCGAGGGGAGAGGGAGAACACCCCTCAAAGATGGGGGTGCGAGGAGCGCCACGAGCAGCACCGACAGCTACAATGCTCTTTTCGGCCGCGAGCAGGTGCTCCTCTAGGAGGGCGACTGTGAGCTCAGTGGGACAGCGAGCAAGGAAGTGGTCTCGAACTGAGCGGAGGGTGTCAGGGAGACGGGTGACTATGAAGTGGAGTGTCCAGTACAGTGGAGGGGGGTTCTTAGCGCAGAACTCGGTGGGAAGGGCGGCACGCAGGCGAGCATCACTAGTGCGAAGGTGGGTGATAAGATCGGCGACTGTAGTAAAGGTGGACAGATCGGGGAACAGGTACGGCAGCATGAGGCGGCTAAGCTCGGCTGTGGCAGGCGAGGAGTAGCGAGCGACGACAGCGTCGTACAGGGCCTTAGCGGATTTGCAGTCGCCAAAATGCTCGAGCTCAGCTAGCGGGAGGTGACTGCGAATGGCTAGGCGAGCAGCTGCGTCACGAGTCTGCCAGTGGGAACGGACACTAAGCTCGGCTGTGGCAGCAGGAGCAGCGGCAGCACCAGACGCGTAGTCATAGAGGGAGATGTGGTCCGTGCTATTGCTCATAAGATACAACTGCAGGTCGTCGAGCCAGGAAGTGAACTGCACGGGACGGCCCTCAGCATCGAAGGAAAGAACGCGAATAGAGGCCATAGCTCAGGCGTGAGGGCACAGCAGAGCAGCGGCAGCAGCAGAGGGGACAGGAGAAAGCGGCAGTGCACAGGTAGCGGGCGGCGCTACGAAGCAGGTAGCGGGCGAGCGGGCGGCGCTGCGAGCGGGCAGCGAAACGGGCGGGCCGCGAAGCGGGCAGCTAGCGGGCGGGCGGGCTGCGAAGTGGGCGGGCTGCGAAGCGGGCAGCGGGGCGAGCGGGCTGCGAGGCGGGCGGGCCGCGAAGCGGGCAGCGGGCGGGCGGGCGGGCTGCGAAGCGGGCAGCGGGGCGAGCGGGCTGCGAAGCGGGCGGGCCGCGAAGTGGGCAGCTAGCGGGCGGGCGGGCTGCGAAGTGGGCGGGCCGCGAAGCGGGCAGCGGGGCGAGCGGGCTGCGAGGCGGGCGGGCCGCGAAGCGGGCAGCGAGCGGGCGGGCGGGCTGCGAAGTGGGCGGGCCGCGAAGCGGGCAGCGAGCGAGCGGGCTGCGAAGCGGGCGGGCCGCGAAGCGGGCAGCGAGCGAGCGGGCTGCGAAGCGGGCGGGCCGCGAAGCGGGCAGCGA